ACAAGCCATGGTTGTGGCCCCCTGCCCATCCCAACCTCCCTACTATGAGCCAAGGATTCCTGCCCAAACTCCTCTGCCCTTCCTCAGACTCTGTTTCCCCGGCGGGACCCCAGCTGAGTTGCAGGAGCTAGAAACTGCATGTATAAATAAGGTTAGCATTCTATAGGAAGAATCAGATTTTTAGAAAACCTAGGAAAAACAAGAAGTGTTTCTTGATTCACCAAGAAACGCATTACTAGAGAAGGTAGGAGGATGGGTCTAGAGCTTCCTCTGTATGAGCATTAATATGGCTATTCAGGCCTCGTTTCCATCCTGGAGGAAAGGGCTGAGTCCTGGTCTACGTCCTAGAGCCGAGATTCAGGAGGAAGTATGGCTCCACATGTGTCTAGAACACCATGCTCTAGCAGTGGGTGTCTTTGGGATAAGAAAGTTAAAACTGTGGTGTTCCGGGACCGGTCCTAGTTCAGGCCAAGGCCAGCAGCTGGACAGGGCTCATACCCAGCCCCTCTCTACCTGGAAACCAGGGGGTCCATCTGGGTCAAGGACAGAAGCCTGATGGATCCAGAACAGAGCCTGGCAGCATGCCAGCATTCCAGCCCAGAGCCTGAGTGCAAAAAGGGCCCTGGCTAGGGTGCCTGGTGTTCCAGAACCTGTCCAGAACAAGGCAGAAGGTGGAGGAGGGAAAAAAGGAAACTGATCCTGAGCTCCAGTAGACCTATAAATCTATGGTTCAGTGGCAATGAAAAGGGCATAGGGCTCCAGGAACTGGCTGAGCCCCGGGGTGGGGAATATTTATGTCCTGGTTCTGTCATTTTGGGAACCCGGGCGCCTTCTTGGGAAAAGGCTTTGCGGGGCTGTGAGTGTGGAAGGAAAGAAGGGATCAGCCAGGACCACTGTCAGCCTCCCCCTCTCTGAACTTCCAGGCCCGAGGAGCAGGGAAGCCTGGGGAGTCACAACCAGCCCCTTGGCTCCCTCAGGATCGAGCACCTGGTGGGACCTGGCTGCTCAGGGCATGAGTGTGGCGGCACGGGTGGGGGCGGGGCCGGGAGCAGGGCTGGGAGACAGGCTGTGGCTGTGGCTGGCTCCGTGCAAGTGCCAGGAGCCTCCAGTCCACGGACTACATTTCAGGGGGCAGGGGGACTGGAAGGGGAGGTCTCAGGGACACTGTGGAGAGATGGCTCCCGGTACATGGCCACTGTGAAGGGGAGAGAGAGGAGCAGGAAGGAGAATTAGGCACGGAGAGACGTGGGAAGAATCAGCTTTGAAAGGGCTCCCATCCCCAACACCCCTCCTCTGGGAATCCCAACCCACAGGAGAAGGGCTCCCCAAAGTCCCAGGGGCCAGGGGCCGGAGCCTTCCTGGTTTGACCCCTCATAACAGGTGTCCTCTTTAGTACCTTAGCTGTGTGTCACTCAATGTTCACATCGAGGCCAGCACCCTCCCCCCGACGTCCTTTCCTTGAGTCCATCCATACTCACCTTCCAGGAGCTTGGGCACAAAGTGGGCCGCTGCCTTGGTCTTCTTGACTCGATTTCCCTTCATGACTCGGCCCTCCTTGTCCAGGCCCAGGTACCAGGCCCGGCCAGAGCGGCGCTGGCGATAGAGAGCAGAGGCGTACAGGACGTAGTAATTCTCGAAGACGCATTCCTTAAAGCGACACTCAGCTGTGAAATGCGGCTGACGAGACAAAGAGCCAGAAAGGCACACAGAGACAGAGACGAAAAGACTTATCACTGGACAGAAGGGAGCCCCGAGAAGAAGCAGCCAGGGGGCGCCTGGGTGGCTCGGTCGGTTGAGCGTCCCGCTTCGGCTCAGGTCATGATCTCACAGCTCGAGATTTCGAGCCCCGCGTCGGGCTCTGTGCAGACAGCTCAGCAAGAGCTGGAGGGAGAGGGAATCCTAGCGGTAGTTAAGGCTGTAGCTGGGGAGCCCTGGCAGGGCCGGCGATCCCCTGGCCACTCGGCCTCAGTGTCTCACCGAGCTGTAGAGCAGCCCCTCGGCGTTCATGGCCACGTAGTGACCCAGCTTGGCACTCTGGATGGTGACCACACGGAGCCCCACGGGGATCAGGTTGAAGTGGGCTGGGGGTGGAGAGAGGGGGCATCAGTGTCC